ATTTTCACTATGCCAAACGAGATTTCAAAAAAAAAATTTTTTTTGACCTTTTTCGGCCCGGCCTACTATATAACCTGCTTAGAATGAACGCCGCCTAATAAATACATTTTTATTGTAATCTACGTGTAATTTTGTTGTATTTAACCTAATTTATGCAATGTGGGCTGCTATCCATCCAAAATGATGCCCATAATCAAAATTATCATTAAAATTATTTTTGACCACTAGTGGATTTGCCCCACTATGCAGCGTCACGAAATTGAAAGTTGAAAAAGCTTGAGTAGTCTTCATAAGCTTGACACTATCCGATCTGTGTCATCACGGTTATTTCATTTGACTTTTAATTAAATATGTATGTAAACAAGGAAAAAGCAAAAATAATGTAGTTACTTTTAAATTCTTTTAATAATTTGTTAAAAAGAAATATCTGAGATCTACAGGGTGTTTCAAAAATGTATGTCATAAATTTATCCTAGATTACCACAAAATAAGTGGATTTGGCTATATTTACCTATATCAAAAACTGGCTCCCAATAAATTTACAGGGTGATAAACTAACATTCAAAAAAACTATTTTTTTTTGTAAAAAGTTTGTTGTTGTGATTTTTTCTTTGAATTTTTTGCCAGTGCTGTAGATTTGTAGGCCCAATATTCTTAGGAGAAAAAAAAATTAAAGCGATCCCCTTAAAAAAAGTTGGGGGTTGGATACCATTTAACACCCCTGTATTTTTTTGACATAAAGAAACTTGCTTTATCGATCTTAAAATCAAAAAAAAACTATGAATTTTTAAATTTTTTTATAGTGAAATGAACTTTGTATCTTTCTTTGTTAACGAGTTATTTACAATTTTTTAACTGAATTTATAGAGCAATTCGTCCATCCTGGACTTAATATATCAAGAAAACTAAGAGTAGGTCAGGAGTTATTGTGCAAAAAACGCATATAAAAATCAGTGGTGTGTCTAGGGATGTGCTTGAGCCACCCCTGCAAAAACTACCTCTTTTATTTATTTTTTTTTGTATTTAAGAAGGAGGAGGACGTGTTGAACATTTACTAAATTAAAAAGTTTATAAAATATATGTATAATAATTCTTGTGTTCATTTTTAATTTTTAATTTTTTGTTAATTGTTTAATTAAAAAAATATTTTTTTTTAATTACTATTAAATTTAATAAATACATTTCCAAACTAACGTGTATTTTTATCAGTGGCATGGTGAACCCATGATGCCGGGCGACACATCATTTTTACGGCGGTAATCCAATATAAATACCTTCTTTACAAGTATTAGAAATTAAAAATTTAAAAAAACCGACTTCAAAAACGTGCAGATTCCATTACCACATCTTAACCAAATTTATATGGGACCACCCCTGAGGTACCCCCTTACTAACAAAAAAAGAATCATATAAATCGGACAAGATGGTAAAGCATTATTGCTAAATATACATAAAAAATAAAGAGTTTGAGGATTTTCTAATGGACCCAAATATTCGATTTTAAAGAAATTTTTATGGGACCACCCTCGAAGTGCCCCCTTTTTCTAACAAGAAAAGAATCATTGAAATCGGACACTGTATTAAAGAATTATCGCTGAACATACATAAAAAAAAATATTGCGACGAATTGATAACCTTCCGCTTTTTTGAAGTCGGTTAAAAATATAAATAAAAGAGGTAGTTTTGCAGGGGCGGCTCAAGCACAACCCTAGCCACACCACTGATTTTTATAAGCATTTTTTGTACAATAACTCCTGACCTACTAGTTTTGTTGATATGTTAAGTCCAGGACGGACGGGTTGCTCTAGAAATTCAGTTAAAAAATTGTAAATATCTCGTTAACTAAGAAAGATATAATGCTCATTTTGCTATAAAAAAAAAATTAAAAATTAAAATGTTTTTTTTGATTTTAAAACCGATAAAGCAAGTTTATTTATGTAAAAAAAATACGGGGGGGATTAGAAGGTACCCAACCTCCAACTTTTTTCAAGGGGGTCGCTTTCAATTTTTGTTCCTTAGAATATTGGGCCTTCAAATCTACAGCACTGGCAAAAATTTCAAAGAAAAAATCGCAACAAATGTTTTACAAAAAACAAAAGGTTTTTTTTAAATCTTAGTTTAACGCGCTGTAACTTTGTCAGTCAGTTTTTGATATAGGTAAATATAGCCAAATCCACTTATATTTTGGTAATCTATCTGAGGAAGAATGTATGACATAACTTTTTAAAATACCCTGTATATTTAAAAATTAATATTTATAATTTCATTATTAAATTAATGTTACTATTAAAATGAACATTGCATCAATCAAAATAGAAATTAGATATCTGAAATATTTGACAGCTTATACGGAAAGTAGATTCATATTCACACGCGGGTCAAAAGTAGTAGTATGAGAGCCCACTGCAAATTTCGACAGTCATCTGATAACGAAATGAAATATGCTCCAAAAGCATGTAACAACATTGTACTTTACCAAATGGCACCTGTGCCAATCCCTATCCTGAGCAAAGTGGTTAAAAAAAATTATTTTATATTCTAAAAATCAAATAAAACATGACAGCGACAATTATGTTTTCCCTGAAAATTACAATCCTAATTCATTGCGAATCTTGCTTTTAAACCTGAATTATTAATATTTTTATCTACCTTTTAAACCATGTTTATGTATGAAAGGAAGAAGGATGGTATTGTATAAACCATTTGCAGAGATAGTCAATAATATTTATAAACTCTTGTTAGATAATTATTTTAAACTATAATCATAGTAGTTTTTTTGTCGTTTCTATGGCAACCTGTAAAAATGAATCACAACAATAGGCATACAAATAAATTTTTAAATCAGCAAACATTGATTCATATTTTTAATGATATTTACCTACTAATCGTGGATAGATGTGTTTGTGCGATGTTAAGAGGAAGAAAATATTTCCCTTTAATGATATATATCAAGATATATTTGAATGTTATTTTCTGGAAAACTTTAAGCGCAAACGAAATTAGAGCTGTCATGCCTTATGTGATTTTTTTAATATAAAATAATTTTTTTAAGCTACTTTGCTCAGGATAGGGATTGGCACAGGTGTCATTTGGTAAAGTACAATGTTTTTCCATGCTTTTGGGGTATATTTCATTTCGTTATCAGATGACGGTAAAAATTTGCAATGGGCTCTTGGGCTATAGATTCATCCACATGCGTGTGATATAAGGCACTTCGCATAAGACTAAATAGTGCGATAGGTGTCCTTTCCTAAACGGTCGAAGGAAAAAATATTTTGAATGCGACCGACAACACTGTGTGCCCCAGAGAGCTCTCTTAATAGGGGACTTCTATACAAGAGAAGTGCAACCAACTTGACAAAATAAAATTGACACTAATGACATAAGAAATCGGGTCACATAAAGAGGCTGTTTTTCTTTTAAATTTTTGGTTTTTCTTATCTACTTTTATGCCATTTACATACCATGTTGTACCCGTAACGTAATAAAGACTTTTTAATTTAGGATATTTTACATTTAGAGGTTGAAGACATTTGTCAATATCAGCTACCGATAATGTCAAAACATAAGCGTAGCATTGTGTTTAATTTTTTTATTTTTAATAGTCTATTTGTGTTTCTTTCGGTTTCTTTAAACATTTTTTCATTTGGTTTTATATATTTATGTCAAATGCAAAAATGATGCTGTTACAAAATCAAGTTTCATACACTATACAACCATATACAACACTAGTGTTCTATCATCACCATAATTGACAGCTGACACTGACAAATTTTTTCAACCTTTAAATGTAAAATACCCTAAACTAAAAAGTCTTTTTTACCTTATGGGTACAACATGGTATGTAAATGGCATAAAAGTAGATAAGAAAAACCAAAAAGTAAACTAAAAAACAGTCTCTTTATGTGACTCGATTTCTTATGTCATTAGTGTCAATTTTATTTTCTTAAGTTGGTTGCACTTCCCTTGTATAGAAGTCCTCTATTAATGAATTTTGATTTAGGAACATGAATCATTAAAGGGCTTAGTTTCCAAGATACAGGGTGTTAATAGTGTGGTACAAAATGCAAAATTTGTATGAAATCAAAAACGCCTTTGAATATATTTTTTGTTTTAAATTTAGTGACCAATATGCAAAGTAATATTTTCACATAAACTAGCATTTGAAAAATTTTACCAGTGGCGCGCTATCGGATTAAGTGACAAGTTTTTTCCACTATTTGATATTCGATTGGAACGAATATTTTCTTTTATTTTCTTTTATTTTCTTTTATTCTCTTATCATTTTTAGTTAAAAAGGTAATAAATAACATTTTATGGAGTTAAATTGGACGATACTGTAGATTTTTATTTTTAAACAAAAGTCTGCATGTACTTAGATATTTTTCAACAACTGAATATTTCTAAATTCTAATCTAGTAGACACCTGTCAAATTTTTAATAGTTCGTGTATTTTAAATGATCTTGGCAGATCAAATTTGAAAAAAAAAATATTTGGACGGCTTCGATGTACGTAAGACATATTTTGAATTTTGATTTAAAACTTTTAACACTCTAACTCTCGGTAACTAAGCCCTTTAAGGGTTCATGTTGCAATGTCAAAATTCATCAATAAACTAGAGTTCTCTGGGGTAGAACCTTGTCGGTCGAATATACTAACACCCTGTATAAGTATTCATACTGTTTCAACTGACGAAAATAGGGTAACTTATCTTATTTAAATTAATTTTAATATTGTTTAGTTTGTAAGCCCAAAGCTCTTAAGCCCTTTTATATAATTATTAATTACTGACGTGTTTGTAAAGGATCTGACTAAATAAACGTACATTTTTGTCCTGGCTTTAGGTATACACATCGTATTTCTGGTATTCAACAAACCACATAACAAAATAATAATTTCCTATATAAATAATAACCTAGACCTTCGTGTAATGTGTAATAGAAATGAAAGTAATCCAATACAGATAGTTTTTGGTCAGTAACTATAAAAGGATAAAAAAATGCCGAAACTGTATCAGTCTATCACTGTTCTGAACAAATCAACTCTTCACAAAATGGCTTTCAAGGTAAGTCAATATATTCAAATTTATTCACAATGATTGTTTAATAAAAACAATATTTGATATATCGAGCTGAAAAGAAATCTTCTTGGGATCTTTTATTAATTTTTAGATAAAGTCAGATCAATTAGTAGGTACTGTTTTCAAATTATAAATATTTTAATCACCCATTTTAAGGATGTCCCACTACTTTTACAACTTTCGTGGTACTTACAAAAATATAATGGAATTAATTGTGATGTTTTTATAATATAATAATAATATTATTAGGTGTTATTGTTTTTGTAGTATAACTTTAAGAAATTAAAGGGAAATTGAAACAGGCAAAAACTTAAAATACATATTGACAAAAAAAGAAAATTGAATTATTAATATTATTATTATTATGCTTGAAACAAGCAAAAACTTTTATACGGAATAACGTTTTCTCTAAAAGTTAAAAATAAAAAAAAAATGTATTTTATATTGTTTCGGAAAATGCAATGTTTCCATCTTCTAGTGCAGTCAATTTATAAAAATTATGGGGACGAACACTTGACACGATGTAACCAGAAGAAGGAAAAATTGTATTTTACGAAACATATGTGGTACTGTGCTAAACAATAGAAAATAAAAACATTTGACCGATTAAATCAAGGAAATTTTTATTTATATAAAAAAGTTTTACCTCTCTTTCAGTAAATCCCGTTAGATGAACTTAAATTGTAAAAAAAACCCAACCCATAGATAACATTGACTTTTTGGGATTTGTTTCTTTGTTTGTATCAATTTTGAATTTATAACTTAATTAAAATATTGCAATAAATAATTTAAATAAACTATTATTACAGGTGATAGTATTCGCCTCCATCCTCGCTTACGCCAACGCCGGATTCCTCGGTGAAGCCTATTCTGCAGGCCCAGTAGCAGCCTATTCTGCAGGTCCAGTAGCAGCCTACTCCGCAGGTCCAGTAGCAGCCTACTCCGCAGGTCCAGTAGCAGCCTACTCCGCAGGTCCAGTAGCCTATTCATCCGGTCCAGTCATATCAGCCTATTCCTCACCTGTAGTAGCCAAAACCATCAACACTTACGCCAATCATGGATCTCCATACATCTCTTCCTATGCTGCTCCAGCTCCAGTAATCACCAAAGGCATTGCTCCAGTTGTTTCAAGCTACTCTGCACATTCTGCTCCAGTTGTGTCTAGCTACGCTGCTCACTCTCCAGTTGTGTCCAGCTACGCTGCTCACTCTCCAGTTGTATCCAGCTATGCTGCTCATTCTCCAGTCGTATCAGCTTACTCGTCTAACCTTGTGACCAAGTCATTTGGTTCCCCCTTGTCCTATTCATCTCCTTTGTATGCAGCTCATTCTGCTCCAGTTGTTTCCAGCTACTCTGCACATTCTGCTCCAGTTGTGTCCAGCTACGCTGCTCACTCTCCAGTTGTATCCAGCTATGCTGCTCATTCTCCAGTTGTATCCAGCTATGCTGCGCACTCTCCAGTTGTTTCCAGCTATGCTGCTCACTCTCCAGTAGTATCTGCATACTCTGCTGCTCCCTTCGCTCAACCTTGGTAAAATTATAATGTAACTAATGTAAATTATTTATTGGTTTATAAATAAATATTTTGAATATAAAGTGTCTTTTTATTTATTAATATATACATATTTATCGGCAGGAGTAAAAAAATTAAGGAAATATTTTAGAGCGTCTCTTCCAAAATTTGATTCTATTTTTATAGCAAATTTCGCATTTTTTGATTATCTATGATTTTGTACAAAATGCATTATTGGTTTTGAAGGCAAAAAGACTGGAGATTACCATGAAGAGATGAATTCCGAAATATTTTAGAAAAAAAACTAAAACTTTTAACAAAAGTTTAATCCCATTAACAACATATAATTATGCTTGTCATTTATTGGTTAAATTTAATTAGTTCAATGTAATAGTGCAACAATTTTGTCAGAAGCATAAGGTTTATTTTTATTTTTTTGTAAATAATATAATTTTTTTCATACAAAATTTAATCTACGAACCGCGTATATACCATTTTATATGCCGTGACCTTATATTATAGAAACTTATTTTGCAACGTACGCCCATGGAATGTGACGTTATGTCCCCACTTTCACTATACTCCACTTTTATTTAAACTACAGTAATGATATACTGTTGAAATGTAGTTATTATGAAAACAAATCCTGACTCATAATATTTATAGGACTATAGTGTAAGCTTTTGAATGCCTTCATTTGCGTATTAACTTTGGGTTAACACTATGAAGACTAGAGATAAGGCGAATCGGCTTACTCGAAATACGGTCCCAAAAAACGAACGCTAATTGAGCTTTTTTAATTCACCACAAGGGCGCTGGTGCTAGTACCGCTGTTCAAAATACATAGCTTCTTATGCGAATTTAACATAATTTTGTCAAAATAATAAAAATAAACTTGTTTATTGCCAAATAAAGTACAGAATATACTGTTGTATTTATTTCCAAATAGGTCGCGCATGTTTTAATTGATAAATTATTTAATTTTATCTATATAAAATGAAATTTAGGTAGGTATGACCCAATTCGAAAAGATTTGATAATGATGAAATTTTGAAAGTACAATTTTGTGTCTAATTTTTTTTGAATTAGGTATGCCTAAATAAATAAATAAATAAGAGCAAAATAAAATACAATTAACAGATTTTTTATTGTTATAATACAAGCATAAAGGGAGATTTGGGAATGTATATGATATTGCCACATCCTTTAATTTCGGCTTCCCCCTTTTTATTTTGCTAACAGTACCAATAAAAGGGTCTCATAATATTTGGAAATATCTTCTAAAAAGTGTACAAGAGCATCATCTCTAGAAAGTGCTTTATCGGCCCTAGGAACGATATATATGCTGCTACTGTTCTAAGCGATCCTACAAAAAACAAAAAATAACAGTAGCAACTCTTTGTCTAACATTAAAACTCTACAAAAAAACAAAGTTAAATTTAATGTATAATTATTGTTGTTTGTAAGTCAGGATCTATGACTGTAAAATTTTATTTTATAGTAACTTGTAATAAAATAAACTACACTACGTGATTCGTGTTGTGACTAGTTTACAATAAATATAATATATAGACATAAATACATTAGTTTAGTTACATTAGAAACTTTAAAAAGACATTGAGTTGATTTATCCTTGTGTTTTCTTTAGTTTTACGTGTGATTTTTATCGTGTTTTATAATGTGGAATGAAGTAAATCTTGCTTTAATGTTTTTTGTCACTCATGTTACTTGTACTCAGGTACTTTTTTCACATTATTTTGATTCTTTTCACCAATTTTTTAAAAAATCACTTCATTTTACATTGACTTATATAGAAAATGACATTCGACTTGCCAACTACAGTCAATTTAGCGAACTTTATAAAAAGGACAGAAATTTGAAATTTGACCATTGCCGATTCGCCTTCTTATATCTAGTCTTCATAATTAACACTAAATAAGCCACAATATCTATATTACTCATATCACTGTGTAATTCACGTAAAGAGTACTGTGAGGTAAAGGGGTCCAAGCCACTTAGAATTAACTTTTACTTAAGTGTATATCTATAACCAATATATCCTTGAAAAGGTAAAAAGACAATAGTTTTATATTTTATACTAATCTGCATTTGGATATTATATTAACAATTTTCTCCAAATATTCAATCACCATTTTAAAAAGATCGTAGTTGTTCTCGAAAAGTCGCTTTCAAAAAAAAAACTTTTCTAATGAGCTATAACGTAAACAAATCAACGGCCATATTGAATTTCATTTGACAGTTTATTTAGATGCTCGTTTCAGATCACAGTAATGTGAAATTTACCACCGTTGTCTGGGACCAATAAAAAATCGACTACTATGACATTTATTCATTTCTTAACCCCTCATTGGCCATTCGCCGACTAGTGCCAATAATGACAACTATACACAACCAAACTTATATGTAATCATTTAATTTCTGAATAAACTTTCTGTAAGGAAAAGATTTGGTATCCAACTTCAAGATAAGGATTTTTGTTCAAAATAAACTTGATAATAAAGAAGAAATGACTGCTGTGATTTATTATCTTGTGAATTTTGTGTTTAGGAATAAAATCACGATCCTCCGGTAATTTTATTTCGATCCAAAAAACAGCAAAATGCCTTATGTTGGACTAACAGATGTGCAGAGGGAAAGAATTACTGCTCTTTTTTGGAGTGAGGGTAGCCATATGTGAGTAGTAGGAATTAAGTGTAAGGGGTTAAAGAAAAGGTCCTTTATTTCTCACAAGTCAATTTAATTGGCGACCGGTTTCGAAGCTGTCACTTCATCATCAGGCACACGTAAATGGAATGTCAAGGAGTCAGTTGTAATAAAAAACAATTATAAAAGCATGAACGGACTTTAACATGGGAGAATTTTATTAGTTTATTCAAATTCTCCCACGTGGTTGTCATACGCCAAAATTTGACTTTTCTTTTTTGACATTCGTACTTGTCAACTTAGTTTCCGTTTCCTGTAACAGTAATTTTTCTTTTGATTATCTGCTTCAAATTTCCCTTTTACATAGGAATTTTCATATTTTCTTGTTCAGTGTTCTAATTTTCTTGTTAGTATTTTTTGCTTTCTCATTTCCCAGTTTAATATTTTTACTTTCAATAAATTTTGTCACCGCCACCTATACTCACTTTCAGTAAATAACACCTTTGTTAGTACACTATTTATCCGCTAAATTTAAAATTTACAGTTTACTACATTGATTCGTTAAAAATCTAGATAGATGTCTTGAGAGTCTGATAATTTTTACTTTTTACTTTTATTAATTGACGTTATATCCTTAAAAAAATTTTAAACTGTTTGTGCTTGTAAAAACTATTTTGTGTTGTTTAGTTAATAATTGTCTTACATGTGTTTTAATTAATTTATTCAAACAGACATCTCGCGGTTTAACCTAACCTACAATATTTTAAAAAAAATACTATTGTATTACATATGACTTTTTTAACTCGTTTTGTTAAACTTTATGTAGCGCTTCCTTTATGGAAATAGTCAAGGTGAGTCACGGTTATTGTTTAACTTCTTTTGTGTTTTTTCTGTTATTTTGTATATGTTAAAGTCCGTTCATGCTTTTATAATTGTTTCTTATTACAACTGACTCCTTGACATGCCATTTAGGTGTGCCTGATGATGAAGTGACAGCTTCGAAACCGGTCGCCAATTAAATTGACTTGTGAGAAATAAAGGACCTTTTCTTTAACCCCTTACACTTAATTACTGCTCTCATTGAACAAGGAATGTCCCAATGAGACATAGCAGAGGTAGTAGGCAATAGACATATGAAAGGTACTTGGAACTAGAAACACTCAAGAACAGGCCCAGGCAAGTCGTTTAAGATTCACAACTGAACAAGGACCGTTTTATGTGCCAAATTGCTAGAGAAATCTCAGTGTTTCTCATCCAGAGATACAACGACAACTTCTGGTGAGAACGTTTCAGTTAAAACCCTAAGAACGAGACTTCGCGCTCGAGGCTTGTACAGAAGGAGAGAGTTATGGGTCCCACCGTTATCTAGGCAAAATAAAATTGACCGGCTAAATTGGTGCCATCAACACCAAAACAGGACAATTGAGAATTGGCAAAATATTCTTTTTTCGGTTGAGACCAGAATTGGCCTAACATTAGATGACCATCTAATTCGGGTTTTCAGAGCTCCAGGAAGATGAGCGCGACTCTACGCTGCCAGATCTGTCTCAAGATATCAAGGAGCAACTGTAATGTTCTGGGGAGGTATTATGCTGGAAGCAAAAACTCCATTGTTACCACTTCGACAAACTTTAACCGGTCAAAGGTATGTTAATTTAGTGCTAAAATCAATCGCTAGGCTTTGGATAGCTACAATTGGGTATAGTTTTATCTTTATGCACAATAATGCACCTTCCCATATGAGCAGAGTGGCTAGAGAACGTCTTAAAACAAAAGGTGTCACAATTTTAGACTGGCCTGTATGTTCACCAGACCTAAATCCTTTCGAACACTTGTGGGATCAGCTCAAAAGTGGAGTAAGAGCTTGTCGAAACAATGCAGGAAAGGTCGCACAGCTTATTGATGCAGCAATAGCAGACTGGGAAAACATACCCCAAAACAATTTTCACAATTTGATAAGAAGCATGCCAAGACGAATAGAAGCTTGCTAGAAGTGGTAACACGAAATGTTAAAATTACCAATTTTCTTTTTGTTTACTATTGTGTTTATTTTGTCAATTATTTGATTATTTTTATTACCATGTGGGTTATTTGTCATTAAAAGTCTTTAGTAAGAACTGAATGTTCATAGTTCTCAAAAATTATGACAAATAATAACTGATTCCATACAAGTTTGGTTGTGTGTATTTCATATATTTTGAATACGACTATTTCGGAACACGCTCTTAGTAACTAATCTAGTTACTTTTCATTGTGTAAATGCGCTCCTCCTACTTTAAAAACAGAGTATAACAAGTAATATAGAAGCTTTTTTTAGTTTTTAAATGCTAAATATGTTTGCAATACTGCTTATTAAAATGGTCAAA